CTGCCGAGTTTGCTTCCGTGAGATTAATTCTGGGAAATTAATTGGGACAAGATTGAAAAGGAAATTAAAGTGCAGCTGAGTGAACAGGCCTCCTGAACACCTTTCTCCCGCTCCATTCCAACCTGAGTCCGGTGGCGGTGGCAGCATCGTGGGAAGTCATTATGGGATGCAGACCCTCAGGAGCCATCGGTTACGTCTGAGGAGCCCCAAACTGGCCCAGCAATCTGCAACCACTGAAGGGCACCCAGCACCCTGCTGTGGCCTGAGCTGTGTCCCCGCTCACTTCAGCTTCCGGGAGGAAGGGAGACTCCGACCCTGACCAGAGAGAGCTGTTGGGAAATATCTGGGCCCCAAAGGGACGCAGGAACATTCGCTGGCCACTCGGCTCTGCTTCCTTATTAAAAGCTCCCTTTCATATATTTTAAGAACCTGCTGACTATGCTCTTGGTTACAGTTTCACAGCTTCCGGTGCAAGGCTCCAGCCTGTCCTGGGAGAGACATCTGGAGTCTCTCGGACATCAGGATGAAATGGCTCAGAACAGGACAGGCATAGTTGCTGGGCATGGTGGTGCACACCTATAATCCTAGCGCTAGGGAGGCTGAGGCAGCAGGATCCCTGAGAGTTCGAGGCCAGCCTTAACTACAAAGTGAGACTCACATGAGAGGCCCTGGGCCTGAGGACATCTCTTTTTCCTGGGTGCCAGGCACTTATTTCTACAAATTCTCTCATGGAAGCATCATAGCAATTGTATGGATAGAAATGAGCCTGCTTATTACTGATGAGGAAATTGAGGATTAGCAAGTCAAGTCGCCTTCCTCAGAGTCACATCAATAACCCTATGGTCAACTGCATTCTCTGAAGACAGGACAGGGAAAAAGCCTTTGGATAACAGGAGGTGCATCACTCCTGCCCAGCCTAAGCCAATCACTTTCTCTGGAGAGCTTGTTTTATTTTTATTTTTTAGAGAAGGGATAATTGTCTCTCTTTCTGGGATCACTCCCAAAGGACAGACTCAAAGATTTCCTTGAGGTTGGTCCTAGGGTCCCAGGATTCAAGGCTGGATTCTTCTGGGTGTCTATTAAGAAATGGCAGAGTGGGGTACAGTGGCACACAGCTGTAATCCCTGCCACTCTGAGGCTGAGGCAGGAAGATCGAAAGTTCAAGGCCAGACTGGGCAAAATAAAATATAAAGAGGGCTGAGGATGCAGCTCAGTGGTGGAGTGCCTGCTTAGGCTGCTTCAAGGCCCTGGGTTCAGTTCCTCAGTACAACAAACAAAAAAGCCCCTAAAACTGCTGCAAGCAGCAGGGACCCAGGGCCAAAAGCTGACCCCTCTCCCTCCCCGCTCCTCATCCCACCTCCTATCCAAGGGCCTTCTTTCCTCTGGCCCAGCTTCCTCTTCCCAATATTTTGTTTATCAGACAAAGAGGGAGAGGAAACCACATGCTTCTGTGAGGGCTAAAGACAAAAGAATATTCTGGTAGCCAGAATTTTTATTGTTTAAGCCAAGGCAATAATTCCACTTAAGGCACCTTTTTTTTTTTTTTTTTTTACTGGGGATAGAACTCGGGTCCTTGCGCTTTCGCAACAGGTGGCAAAACTACTGAGCTAGATCCTCCTGCCTCAGCCTCCTGAGTGCTGGGATTACAGATACGCACCACCATGCCCAACCCCTTTTTGTTTTTTTTTTTTTTTGAGACACAGTCTTGCTCTGTGGTCCAGGCTTGGCTTGAACTCACTATGTAGCCCAGGCTGGCTTCAAACTTGCAGAGATCCTCCTGCCTCAGGCTCCCGAGAGTTGGGATCACAGGCATGCGTCACTGCACCCAGCTGTGAAGGCACATTTCTGGCGATTTTGCAGTATCACAGCACTGTGGTTAGACTGGGGACACCGGAGATGGGAGGAGCCTTTCTGGGAAAGAGACCAAGTCTGGGCCAGGCGAGCTGCACGGCTCAGCAAGGGGACTTTCCAGATCCCTACACGGCCGGCCTTTCTCGCTGGACTGTAGCACTGCTGGCTAGTGAGAAAACCGAGCTTTGCAGACCCCATTTGCTTGGACTAAACTTGGCTGGCATTGGTTCTGGCCATCCTGGTGTGGCAGGCAGGCTACAGGGGGCAACTGACTCCAAAAAAGGAAGAGGGCTGGGAACACTGGGTGATGAATTTAGGCCGCACACAGAGACAATTCCAGAGGCAGGGATGGCAGGGTTTCTGAAGACCCAGGTGGCTGGGGATGGTTAGCAGGATCTCCTCCTTTATCTGTCTGAACTGGTTCACGTGTGGCTCTGAGAGGCAAGTGAACGGACGGGGAAGTCTAGGAAGCCTCCGGACGCTCTCCGCCCGAGTTAGGTAATAGAATCAAAGTGAATCCAATCTGAGATCCCCAAGCCAACGTTAACCGGGATGAAACTTTGTAATGGAAAGCTCCGCTGAATGCCCAGCTTCTGTTTTTCTTTTTCTTTTTCTTTCGGTACTGGGGATTGAACTCAGGACCCTTTCGAGGCAGGCGGCAGAATCACTGAGCTCAATCCCTGGGCCTGTTTTTCTTTTTTGATATATAGGGATTAGCAACATGAATACAGGGATAGCTGGGATACCCTTTGGGGGGAAGAAATGGAGCCGGGCGTGGTGGTGCACACCTGTGATCCCTGCACTCAGGAGGCTGAGACAGGAGGATCACTGCAAGTTCGAGGCCAGTCTGGGCTACATAGTGAGTTCAAGGCCACCAGTTGTCTCGAAAAACAAAAAACAAAAACAAACAAGCCCAAAACACAAGAAATGCAATACTACAATGATAGGTGATGAAAATGGATGCAGAATCTTCTAGAAGGATGAAGAAAGATGCTGATAGAACCAGGGCAGCAAGTTTACTTTTTTTTTTGGTACTGGGGATGGAACTTTGGTCCTTGAGCTTAGGAAGCAGGCGGCAGAACCACTGAGCTACATCCCTGGCCCAGCAAGTTTACTTTTTACTGAATTAAATTCTGATATATTATCTTTTAGTAATGGAAGAGAAGAGGTTAAAAAAACCCCAAAACAGGTGGGGTTGGTTCCTTCATGTTCTCTGGGTCTCTTAAAAATGCCCCAGCCACAGTAACCACGGTGGGCTCTGCATAGCAGGGCAGGATGGGTGGCCCACAGCCCCTTCTAGCTGGAGCAGAGGGACCCCCAGTGAGAATCCATTACCAAAGGCGAAAGACATGCAAAACAAACACAATCATCATGAAGGAGAGAGGGAGAGAGGGAGAGAGGGAGAGGGCCGCAGACAGCCTGGCTCTGCTCCCCCACCCGCTGCAGGCGCCTCCAGACAATGTAAACGGTTAATTTGTTCACCTGCAGGCTCCAGGCAAACACAGGCTGGTCACACCTGAGCGGATAACTCGATTACCCCCAGATGCCAGCCGGTAATGTACACAAACTCGATTACACAGCGAACCTTGCTTTCGGGCACGAGATACCATCAGGCCAGTGTCCATTCCCAATTTGTTCTTGGGGTCCCGGAGCCACACCCAAATGGCACGAGGGTGGTGCCGAGTTAGGGATCCAGGAGAAATTGAAGGAAGATGCGGATGTCCCTCTGCGGAGCTGGGGGTTCTTATGCCCCTTCGGAGGGCCAGGTCTGAATTCAGTCCTCACTTATAGAGGCCTGATTCACTGGGGCCTCCGGAGGGAAGGTGCTTTGGGCCAGGGCTGGTCTGCTTCCTAAGGAGCTTCCAGTATATTTCAAACCCAGACAGACTCTTGAGCTGGTCATGACATTCAAAGAATATAAATGGTAAATGATGGGTTAATAATACAATGGGTTTTCAATTTTCTTTTATGGAATTCACATAGTCAGCAATTAAAGAGCAAATGCTGCCTATTTCGAAAATATGTTTGTAGATATCGATTGGATGTAAAGAGAGTGAGGCCTTTTTAATAAATTCTTGGAGGAGCGGAACCTGTTATCCTGTCCCACCGATGGGCTATGCAAGGTCTTACCAGGAAGACACAGGACTTACTGACCTTCCCACTGTACCCATGAATTTTGAATCTTCTTCACATCAAAGGAGGATTGGAAATGATCCTTTTTCTCCCCCAGTACTGGAGATTCAACCCAGGCCCTTTTACATTTTAAAAAATAAACAAACCCTGGTTCTTTATGATCAGCAACAGTATTTGCAAGATGACCTGCTGGGTCTAGGGGTTAACTTCTGATTGAGAAAAAGAATAAAGTTAGCTGGCCTTGGTGGAACTGGATTCACCATCCTAGGACTATCAGCACTCAAACCAATTGAGCTAACTCTGACTCCTCCCCCTTGGGTAATTATATTACAGTCTCATTTATCTATAAATGGAATAAGCCAGCTTACCTAGCCAGAATGTTTTCAGTGGGATTATATGATAAATTATGTACATAGTGATGACCTTTAAGTATCAGTCCTTGAAAAAGAGAAAATTTTGATGGACATAATTTTAGGATTAGGTCAAATTTTTTTTTGTTTTGGTATTGGGGGTCAAACTCAGAACCTTGTACTTATGAGGCAGGCAGCAGCACCGCTGAACTAAATCCCCAGCCCAGGTCAATTGTATTTTTAAATTTGAACAGTGATTCCTGGATTTGAATGTCCAGTGAAAAATTTCCCTAGCACTTAGAAGTAATTTGAATTTAGTCAATGTGTGAGGGCACCATGTGATGTACAGAGAGGTGTTACAACATGGAATGGTGCTGGTTTCAGTGACGGCCTCATTGAGGGTGAGAAGACCAGCCAGCCAGGGTGCCACACACCTGTCATCCTAGCACTCTGGGAGGCTGAGGCAGGAGAATTGCAAGTTCCAGCCCAGTCTGGGCAATCTAGCGACTTAGTGAGACCATGTTTCAAAAAAAAGAAAAAAAACATTGGGTTGGGGGAGAGATGTAGCTCAGTGTGAAGGCGCTGGGTTCAATCCCCAGTACAAAAAAAGAGAAAAAAGTGAAAAAAACTGACTTTGGGTCCAAGCCCCACACTCCCTGACCTTACCTTACTCAGAATGCGGATGAGGTCACCACGCTGGAAGGACAGTTCATCTGGCTGGTCACCATGGCAATCCCACAGGCCCTGGTAATAACTGGCATAGTCCACTGATCAGAGAAGAGAAACCAAAGTTAACAGGACTCCATCTTTCCTAGAGAGCCACATTGTTGCCACCAATGGAAACTGGGGGCCTGACGTGGCCCCTAGGAAACCTAAGATTCAGGGGGTCCGGCTGAGATGCAGCCACTCTGCATGAGCAAAGGACCCTGGGAGAGGGAGATCATTAACTACCATTAAATATTTACAGAGCACCCCAGTAGGGTGCTGTTCAACAATCCAGTGATATATTTATTTATTAACAAAAGAAAATCAGGCAGGTGATTTTTCAGTCGGCTTGTAAATAAGCCGCACAAAGAGTGTTTCCAGCCAGACTTTCTTGATCCAGTGTGATGTCCGAGCATCTCTCCTTTGTGGCCCCAGGGGAGCAGGCTAAGCCCCCCCTACCCCGCTTCTGCCTGCCTACAGTGTGCAGTGCATCAAGGCCTCCTCTGTGATGCTTCACCCAGGCTCTTCCCACCCAAGTACACATGAGGGAATCGCCAGTAAACACTGCAGGGAAGAGCCCGAGCTTCAGGGGGAGCCGTGGGGGGGTGGTGTCTCATCCATCACGAGTGGATTCTGGGTGGGCTGGCCCTCTGCCAGCGTCTGTGTCTGCTGAGATTTATCTGCCAGCCCCGGGGGGAACAGAAAGCGAAGTGATCTGCATTAAAAATGAAAGCAGCAGAAAGATGCACCGAGCTTTAGAAGCCCTGGAGAGATTTACTGGGCTCCTCAGCAAGCCTGGACGGCAAAGGACAGCCATCGATTCCTTGCAGCGAAGGGTTTGTATCGATCCCCTACTACCCGGAAAGGTTAAACACCAGAGACCAAGTGGCCCGGCGTCTGAATGGCAGGAGAGCGATGCGTCTGCTGGACCAGGGATCTGTTCCTCAGGACGCCCGGTCCGGGGAGGCTGCAGTGGCGGAGCTAGGAGTCCTGGGTTCAGGGCAGTTTATGTGGCTTTTGGGAACTCTGTTCTACCAACCCCCATTTTTCCTTTATTTGTTTGGCCACTCCCATGAGCAGGTTTCTGAAGACAGTGAGAGACAGGGGTCAAGAGGAAAGAAAGTGGACAGAGGCCCTGGCTCAGTTTGCTTTTCCCCCTACTTGTTCCTAATTTAGGAGCAATGCAAACAATAAAGGCTCAGGGGACCAAATCCCTGTATGTCTCTGAAAAAGAACTTTAGTAGGAGTCTTAAATGCAACAACAAAACAAGCTGGGTGTGGTGGCACACACCTGTCATCCCAGCATTGGGAGGCTGAGGCAGGAGGATCACTCCGAATTTGAGGTCAGCCTGGGCTACACAGTTCAAGGCCAGTCTGGATTACATGGCGAGACCCTGTCTCACCCCTTGCCCCCCACCAAAGCAAAATCAAACCAAAGCAAAACAACCCAGGAGAGAGAGAACTATTGGATTAAAACTGATATTGCAAACAAGTAAAAATGTCACACATACGGAAACTTGGGCATGTTTTCCTTGAACAGAAAATTGTTCATATAGGCAGCAGACAATAGAGGGCAGCAAACAAAATAAGGACAGTGGAAACATTCTGCCAGAGTTAAGAATATGTTTGGAGGAAAAACACGTTGAGAGAAAAATGCTAACTATTGAAAAGACAAAGCATATATTTTTGGGGGCTACCAGTGCATGAAAAAATGGAGAAATATCAGTCCCTGAAAAGTGAAGCTAGTTTTCTCAGAGGATATATTATGCATTTTCAGTTATAATTGGTTGATAAATCGCTCCCTGATTTTGACTAAATTTAGGAACAAGAAGTAAATTGACATCAATATTCTTCATGGGCTCATATACAGCTGGGAGAGTCATTTTCATGTGAATGGATTTTTAAAACTTAGCTTGATATTTCTGAGTGGTAAGAAGACTGGATTCTGGAGGCTAAGCCCTGAACTCACTATGTAGCTCAGCCTGGCCTCCAACTGGAGGCAATCCTCCTGCCTCAGCCTCCCAGTGCTGGGATGATAGGTGTGTGCCACCACACCTGGCTTCACTGAGGAGTAATTCTTTACCTGGCTAAGATTAGACTCTGTATCAGATCCCAGTTTAATGTGTGTGACTGGTGTTTACATGTACCTGTGCCTACAACTTCACTATTTCACTCCTTGACACCCAAAACCATATACACCACCCTTACCAGATGCCAGCTTTAGTTAAGAAACATGTCCTGCCGAGTGTCCCTTGGAGACCCGGGGAGGGGGTGGAGGGAGGCTCAGGAGGGCTTCAGTCCCAAAGCCCATCCCCAGCAAGAGTTTGAGAGCTCACAAGTTTGCATGGTGAATTCAGCCTTGTCCTGAACTTATCCAGCTGGCCCTGCAGACGGGCACTGCACGTGGACTCTGATTTATTTTTATTATTATTTATTTATTTATTTATTTACTCTTCTCTTTTTGAGAAAAGGTCCCCCTATGTAGCCCAGGTTGGCCCGGAAAGTGCAGGGATCCTCCTGCCTCAGCCTCCCGAGTGCTGGGATGACATGTGTGCTCCATCAGGCCTGGTTTGGACTCTGTTTTCTTTAGAGATGAGAGGAATTGGGAGCTCAACGGCAAGGCTTACTCCATGGGTTGGATTCGGGAGCCTCTCACTTTACACTGCTCTGGCAGCAGTCCGAGACCAGGATGGTGTGGTCGTCTGACCATTTAATTAATTCTAAACATCCTCATTCTCATTTCAAGGACATTATTCCATCTAATTATTTTTTTCCAGTCTGTCCATTTGGAATGAAAAACAAAAGAATAAAGCTTAATGCCAGCATTTCTCAATGTCTCTCCCAAAATACATCGCTCTGCACTAAATAAAGCCTGGTAATTCAAAAGCAAAGCACTAATATATTCAGCATAAAACAGACAGAGGACCTAGAGCAATAATGACACCACTAATAACTAAAACAGTTATAACAATTAACAGCAATTACAGTGCTACAGAAGCTAATGAGATGATCGCTGCATTTAAATTGCCAGCCAAGCTGAGAAGGGATTTTTCTGGAGAAAAAAAGGTGCTGGGTGGGGTCTTATTTTCTTTATCCCATGTAAGGGAAGTGCAGCTTCAAGCAAACAAAATGTCAGAAGAAGAGCAGCAGACAGGTTGAGAAATAGTAGTGCTTTTTGCTTGTGCAGGTATTTATTGCAAAGCATTTGTCGTGCCATGCCAAGTTTTTGAAATCAGCGGTCATCATTTCTCCTATAATCGAGGCCAAGGTGGTGTTAGTGTGTATTCTTTTGTTTTTTCTTTTGAGACAGGGTCTCGTTTTGTAGTTCAGGCTGGCCTTGATCTCAGTATGTAGCCCAGGCTGGCCTCAAACTCACAGTGATCCTCCTGCTTCAGCCTCCCAAGTGCTGGGATGGCAGGTGTGCACCACCACGCCTGGCCTGGGCAACACCTTTTCCTGAGAAGGAAGGAAGATAAGCTCTGAGGACCTCAGTGTTAGGCTGTTAGGCTGATGGGTTGAAAATGAGAGAAAATGCGAGGTGTTGAAGAATTGCTCATTAAAATAACCCTGTTACTAACAGTCATGCTGTAACCAAGCTCTTTAGAGACTGAAGAATCAATACTACAAGGCTGTGATAGATTTTCAAGGTAACAGAATAAAATAAAAGAACTTGTACCGCACAGGGTCATTAACACTCGATAAGGATAAACTGAATTCCTCCCTCTCTCCCTCTCCCTCTCTGATAAGATCTAGCTGGGCCTTAAACACGGTAGCAGGTCCATCGGGAAACCATCTAGGGAACAGGGTCTGGGAGAGGCTTCGAGAAAGTACCTGGGTTTTAATGGTGCCCCTGCCAGCCACAGGCTCTTTTAGGAGAAAAGAAGGGACAGCCTAGTTTGCTTACATCTTGTTTTTCCTCCAAAGACATGTAACATCTGAGAAAAACTGAATGAAGTGAACTTGTGTAGCTTGTCTAAGACCTAGAAATCACACGGCCTCAGGGCTCCCTGCCTTCACCCCCTCTTTGTGACAGGGTCTCACTATGTAGCCCAAGCTGGCTTTGAACTCATGCGATTCTCCTGCCTCAGCCTCCCAAGTGCTGGGATCACAGTTGTGCACCACCACGCTTGGCTCCCAGCTTTTTAAAAGCCTTCGTGAGGCTGCCTGCCTTCCCCCAGACCTCTATATTTTATTGTTAGAAAATTAAGTGATGACATTCGGATGGTACATATTTGTTGCCATTTCTATAGCTCTTCTGGAGGAAAGGCACTATATAAATTCAATAAATAAATAAGTAAACACAAATAATAAAAATTCCTGCCTCGAATTCTGCAGACAGAGCGAAAAGTCCTCCTGCTTTTTAATCACTAAGTCACCAATCATCATAACGGGTGGGAGTATAAACCACGGAAACATATTTAGAGCTCCCTGTCTTTTAACAACACCTATTTCGGAGGCAGGAAGCAGGAGAACAAAAGAGTTTCCTTTTTATTTTTTTTTGTAAATCCTCCTTGAATTATACCTGTTAGAACAATTGAGAAATAAAACTCTTCTCACCTCCCAGATATAAACTTAGAGCAAGGCGGGAGAGGAAATGAAATGAGGGGAGGAGGGAAACTGCATTTTTTCTTGAGACAGGGTCTCACTCTGTAGCCCAGGCTGGCCTCCAACTGAGGCGACCCTCCTGCCTCAGCCTCCCGAGTGCTGTGATGACAGGCATGCACCACCACACCTGGACTCTTTGGACAGGACTTCTTACAGGAGCTCTGACCTCTCTTTCCTCCCTTAGGAGAGGCTGGACCCTTACCAACATAGGTCCTTTGCTAACCCTTTTAAGATCACCTCCTGTAGCGAGTGAAAATAGGCAGAGGGGTGTTGCTGAATGGAAAAGGAGAAGAAAAGGCGGAAGGAAAGGAGGAGAGAAGAGAATGGGAAAAAAGTAGGGCCAGAGAAATGGAGGTGGGAAGGAAGAGGAAAGGAATTCTTACGTTTAAATTTCATAGACTCTTAAGAAAAAATCCGTAAGTATCTAAATCAGTCCTGCCTTGGGCTCTGCTGGGAGGAAGTGTCCTTTGCAGCCTTGGCAACCACAGTATCCCTGACTGACGAGGAAGGACCAGGTCCTCGGTCTGCTGAGGGGCAGCCGGCCTGGGGAGGGACGGGCTGGCTGACAGCCTTCGGGGTGGCTAACGGCCTGGGATGAGTAGGATGTAATTCTGTATTCAACGAAGCCGTTACATATTCATTTCCAAATGTGCCTGGAATCGAACCAGGCCGTCAGAAGTCAGTGCTGCCAGGCAGTTCTATCCTTCAGCCCCCCGCTCACTTCTCAGAGCTGACACATTTCCATTGCCCTCTGAACTCGCAATCTCCGGGCCTCTCGGAGAGGAGACGTTTCCATTCTTTCCCTTCTCTGTTCCCCGATCTCTCAGAGATGAGGCAATTCTATTTTCACCGTACTGATACAAGAAATACTGATAGGGAAGAATAAACATCTGCTTTGGCTTCCCACCCTCTCTGGGATGAATCGGCCGTGATTCTGGGAGCCGTGTTACAGCGAACCGGGACTCCTTTCCGAGTTAAGGCGCGGCCCTCTCTGGTCGCTATGGGGCTCTCGGGGCTGCTGCCCTGCGACCTATTCTCTAGTGCCTCCAGGAAGCCTAGTGCTTCTCCAGCCGGAAGCCGGAAGCCCGAATGTCCCCCAGTGCTGGGCCCGAGTGCTCTCATACCTCCTCTCTGCCGAGTCCCACGCTCCTCTTCCAGTTCCAGCTCTTCATCTGAAGGGACAAACGTCAGTGTTAGCCATCACTCTCTCCTTTTCAAGAAAATTTTAGTTAGTGGTGTTTTTTTGGGTACCAGGGATCGAATTCAGGTCCTTGTGCTTTTGAGGCAGGCGCCAGAACCACTGGGCTAAATCCCCAGCCCAAACAGTTTCTTTTTTTTGGTACCGGGGATCAAACTCAGGTCCTTGAGCTTACAAAGCAGGCACTGGAACCACTGAGCTAAATTCCCAGCCCCAGTTAGTGTATTCTTGTTTTATTTTTAACCAGCTCTCATCTTCAACCAGCCCCTCTTCTCTCATTTTCTTTTCCTTTTTTTTTTTTTTTTTTGAGACAGGGTCTCACTGTATAGTCCTGGCTGGCCTTGCACTCACTATGTAGCCCAGGCTGGCCTCGAACTTGTGGTGATCCTCTTGCCTCAGCCTCCCAAGTGCTGGAATGACAGGGATGCACCACCATACCGAACTCTCTTCATTCTTGTACAGACATTTCGAAGGGTTCACTGTATGCAAAGTACAGCTTTAGGAGTTGGGGACAAGCCACAGGCAAGGCTGTCAGGGTCCCTGGCCTTGGGAAGCCCCTGATCCCATGGACTACTGAAGTGCCTGTCACTAGAACCCGAATCCTTTTCCTTAAATCCATTTCTCCTTCCTTCCTGGAATTCTCTTCCACATTTACTGTCTCCAGGCAAGCATCCTCTGTGGTTTGAGGAACCGGGAGCTACAGTGTGGGGTGTGATCAGAGGCGGGCCTGTAACCCCACAGTGATTAATTGGTCCTTAATGGCTGCATCTTTGTTTGGCTGTGTCAGAGGCTGCTCGTGTACATAACTTTACGGCCCTCGTACCTGGGGCTTTGCCTTGCCCATCAGTCTGAGTCCTGAGGGCACTTGGAATGGACTTTTTATTACTTGCTGGGATGCAGGATGGGTTCTAAGGCGGTGCCGGCCAGGTGAGGGTTTATGTGGCCCAAGTCACAGCACGATTGGCCTAAGTTTCCTCCCCACAGCAACCTGTTCCGGCTCCGGCTGCACCCTATTCGGTGCAACAGGAAGTGGGCTTGTAGGCAAGGGCTGTGGATCAGAGTCACATTACACATGGGTCCAGGTGAGCAACAATGTACTCAGTGTGCTTTCCACCAGCACCTCTTCTCTGTCTTACACACACACCCCCCCACACCCACACCCACACCAGGCTGGCTTCAAACTCATGGCAATCCTTCCGCCTCAGCCTCCAGAGTGTGCCACCTCCCGGCACGGCACGGCACGGCTTGACCTGACAATTTTTAGCTCCGCCTGCTGCGCTCCCTGAGGCCACTGGGAGGGACAGGCTGGGAGATAATGGAGGAGTGAAATCCAACAGCCAACCACATCCCATTAAACACCACGCTTGGACATTGTCTTCTCATTACTCAGCCACTTCCTTCCTCGGCTCAGCTGCTTCTCCTTCTGGACTCGGGGCTCATTTTGTGGGATGGAAGACATGAGAGCAAGAGCGGGTCACCGTCTTGTTGGGGACACGCAGTTGCTCGGGCCAGGAGCAGCTCTTTTGCTGATACCAGGCAAGTCCGTCATGGAGCCCTACTGAGGAGAGGCTCACTTTGCCTCTGCTGCCTGCGCGTAGCTGTCTCTTCCTCCCGATTCTAATCAATGTAAATTGGGTCAGATCTCCGCTGTGAATTACAAATTGGATCCGAAGTTGCAGGGTCGCCGTTCCTGCTACTCCGCCTCTTTCCCCCCATCAGCTGGGAAGCTACACCCAAGATCTTTTCTAAATAAATCAGACTTTATTGTAAAACTCGCCCACTGACGAGACGCAACCTCATTAGCATTGATTTTAAAATAAATTATTGAAAGTGGCCAGGCTGCTCTTTGCATTTGTAAAAATGGAGAATGTAAATGTATCTGCGATGATAAAAATGAAAACGAAAACTCGATTCCTTGATCCTTTCAGGCGACAGCACTTAATCTCGTCATGGTACAAAAATGGAAGAATTACAAATGTGTTCTGTGCAGTTCAATTCCAGCCCAGATGCTCTGATTTCCATTGTGCCTTTGCAGTCACCTAGAAGGCAGGAGAAACACTGGCCACTGGGCTTACATGTCACATGCCACCATCGCTAGGTTTTGGGGTGACAGATATAAAGGGGATGCCTTGGTCCTCAAGTCCATTCTCTCCCGCCCTGTCCTTTCTGTGAAACAGGAAGCGTGGCTCTGGGGCCTTGGAGATCCTGAGCAGGACACTGTCACATGCGACCGGAAGCACCTTCCGCAGCTGGGTGCGAAGGGCGCACAGCTAGGTACCTTTCTGGGTCCAAAGAGAGAAGCGAACAATTTATGTCTGACCCTTCCGGGAAACCAAACTGATACCTTTCAAGCTCCGAACTCAAGACTATAAGGCAACAGGAAAAAAAAAAAAGTTTTTGTTTTTGTTTTTGTGGCAGAGTCTTACTATGTAGCACAGGCTGGCCTTGAATTCTAGGTGATCCTCCTGACTCAGCCTCCTGAGTGCTGGGGATTATAGTCAAATGCCACCACGGCTGGTTAAAAAAAAAGTGCTTTTGTTTGAAAAAGGGAGTGAGATCTTAAATTTCTTTTTCTTTTCTTCTTTTTTTTGGTGTTAATCTGTAACATGAAGTTTAAATTTTATTATTTATTTATTTATTTATTTATTTATTTTTGGTACCGGGGATCGAACTCGGGACCTTGTGCTTTCGAGGCAGGCGGCAGAACCACTGAGCTAAATCCCTGGCCTGAAGTTTTAATTTTAAAAGGCTATTTTCAAAAATATTTTTAGGCTCAAGAGCTCATTAAACTTCTTTCTGAGAATATTATTAGGCATTTGTGCATTACATCTACTGAAATACATCTTCATTTAAAGGAGAATTAAAATTTATGTGCTAGCTCAACTTTAAACAGTAGTAGATTATAATGGTCCTCGGTCCTAACAGGGCATAGGGGACCCAGACCTTACATAGGTTTTAAACAAATAACCTCTAAAGATTGCTGTCCTCTTATCACATTAAATGCTCTACTTGGTTTCCAAATATCTCATCTCAGTTGGGAAAACAGGAAGATTCTGTGAGCTGAGCGAACATGTAAGGGAGCCTTGGGCATTGAAGACAAACCGGGTATCAGAAGAGTGGATTTCAGTTGACAATCCTGGCACAAGGTTGGGCGTGCTAATGAGGGGCTGGGCCGGAAGCTGTCCAGCAGGGACAATGGGCAGCCGGCTCCTCGTGACACCGGGCTCCGTTATGAAGTGCTGCTCCGCCGGCTCCATGACATCCGCTGATCCAGGAGCAGACAGAGCCCCAAACAAAGTGAAGTGATAAAAGCTTGAAGGGTGCCAACCGTACCAGTGTGCAGCCAGATGTCAAAGTGCTCTGGTGACAGATGCGACAGAAATACAGATAGACTCGGAGTGCAAAGCAAAACGAGCGGAAAGGATGCTATTGGCCCTCTTTGTCTTTTATTTATTTTACTTATTTTTTGAGACAGGGTCTTGCTTTGTAGTGCAGGCTGGCCTTGAACTCACAGTGATCCTCCTGCCTCAGCTTCCCGAGTGCTGGGATGACAGCTCTGGCCCGCTTTAGACAACACAGAAAAATGCAAGCAAGAGGCTAATAGCAATTTAATTCTCGGTTGTGTATTAGGTAATCTCAGTTGTCACTTCACAATACTTGCATCCTGGCTCTGAGGTTTGGCCTGGATACATTACATCTAAATTCAATTTGTGCTAATGGCAGCACTCGGAGTGCTCTGAATTTAATTTCACAAATAATAACTGAGCATCTACTAATTGGGGAGAAGGACATGAATACAGATCACTGCGATAAGGGCTAAAATAAAGCTTCATTTCAGCTCAATAGGGAAGGGGTTGCTGGGGATGACTTGGTGACAGGTTTGGGGGGTCTTGGGCTGAAATCTGGGCCCTCCGGGCAGAAGACACCGCTGCTGCTGGCCAGGCAGTGCTCGGGATGGGCCTGGGCCTGGGGCAGCGCTAGCCTGGCCTCTTCATCCACCTTGGATGTTTGTCCTTTCTCTTTTCCTTTTCCTTTTTTGGTACTGGGGATTGAACTCAGGACCTTGCACTTGCGAGGCAGGCGCTGGAACCACTGAGCTAAATCCTCGGCCCTGTCCTCTCTCTTTAGATTCCCTCCATCTGCCCCTTCCCAGGGGTCTGGACAACTGTACAGAGGGAAAAACAGTTCCACCGAATGCTTGCTCCCACTTGATTCTGATTCTCATTTTATAAAACCCAGTTCTGTATTGTATTCCAAAGCGTGGCCGGGCAGCGCATGCGCGGGGTCTCGGGGCTGCTCCTTCTCTCTCGCTCTTCCGAGATCTCTGCGGGGGGGGGGGCGGGGGACGGAAGGGGGGACGGGACCACGACAACCACGGAGCTGTTGCCATCGCAGCCGCCACAAGGCCAGGTGACATTTCTGCAGAGGCTTCGGGGAACTTACTGGGCCCCAGGCTTGAGTCCCCCAAGAGAAAGCCGCTGAAAGCTGTCCTTTGATGGCTCCTTGAAACTCAGGGCTGGGCCTGCTGGCCTCCCTGCCTTGGGGGGCAGAGAAGGGGCCCAGAGGCTTCTGGTTTCTGCATGCCGCTGTGGCATTTCCTTGTGGTGGATCCCTGCTTAATCTATTGCGAATGAGATCCCCCCAAATGAAGGGTCCCCATATGCTCAACCGGGTGGGGGGGGTTCAGAAATCCCAAAGGACACCCACCTGGAAACTGTACTGTTTCAGGACTAACATTTTTGGGGTGTGGCTGAAAACCTTGAGTGCTCTGATTTTTCCCTCTTGGGGACAAGGCCGCTATCCACGTAGCGAATGCTGATGATCTTATGATGAATGTGATGTAGTGCATTGAATTTGATGACCCATACATTATTTTGATTAGGAAAAACATTTTTTATTGACCTATGTGTGTTCCATGCTCCTCTCTACATAAATTACACCCCAGGAGGGAAACTTCCTCAACAAGACAGCGAGAGCTATGTAGGCCCCATCCCAAAGCTTAGCAGAAGCTCGTGTGCTAAATGAACACCCTTCACAGGCTGGTGTAGGGTGCATGCCTGTAATCCCGGCACTTGGGAGGCTGAGGCAGGAGAATTGCCAAGAGTTTGAGGCCAGCCTGGGCTACATAGTGAGTTCAAGGACAGCCTGGACTACATTTGAGACCAAAAAAAGAAAAAAGAGAATATCCTTCACAAAGCACTTTTACCGGTTGGAATGAAGTGTCAGAGGCCCAAGCCGTTTGCCCATTGATGGTGATGCGAGGTTAGTCCTGTCCCTCCACCTGCACCTGGCCTCGCAGTAAGACCAGCCGCAGCAGAAGGTGAGCTCTACTCTCCATCTGCTCAGGATTTTCAATTCACAAATGCCCACCTGGTCTGTCTCGGCCGGTTGACAAGAGCAGGGACCTAGCCATCCTCGGTTCTTCAAGGAGGTGGCGCTGCAAAGGCCACTGTGTTCACAAGCCAGCATCTACCCGGCACTCCCTGCGTGGCAGGGCTCTGTGCCGAGAGCTCGCCGGCTCCGCTCAGGCTCCTCACTGTATCCCTCCAGCACAGTTGCTGGCTCAGCCATCCCGGCGGGGGTGGGGGTGGGTGGAGGGGCAGCGCAGACCCATCCTGACTCCAGCCTGCTGGCTGCCTGCAAGAAGGCTTTGCATCTCACACACACATCCCACTGCTTAGTCACGGTCTTTTCGTTTGTTTGCTTTTTCTCTTCTTTTTGCGGTACTGGGCACTGGGCTCAGAGCCTTCACACTGCGCTACATCCCCAGCCTCTTCTTGTGGTGAGACAGGGTCTTGCTAATTCACTAAGTTGCCCAGGCTGGGCTCCAACTTGAGATCCTCCCGCATCAGCCTCCCAGAGTGCTGGGATCACAGGTGTGTGCCAGCTAGTTGGTGGTCTTGTGAGAGGAGTGATGGAGGAGGCTGAGAGAGTCGCATTGTAATCAAATGCCTGTCTAGCTCACCATTGTGTTGTCTCTAAGATCTAGGATGCGGACAGTTTTCAGGAAATAAACTGCTGTATGTACAGCACTGTCCTTTTGCCACATAGCTATGGCACTTGCGATTTCTCTAAAATGCACAAAGAGGCCCTGGCTGTCCTACAGTGTGGCTGCCCTCACTTCTGGTGGCCGGCAGCCCTGTGGGCTCAAGGTTAGTGGCTTCCTGGAGGAGGCGGATTCATCTCCAGGCCCTCGGGTCCTCCCCACTGGACTGGGAAGTTGGAGGAATTCCGGGATGCCCTGGACGGGGTTGAGATGGCTGAGGGGAGGAGGAGGTGGGAGGAGAAACAGGGCCATCAAGAAGCCAGTTATATATTTCTTGCCCCACCTGGGGTATCGGGTTTCTTTCTGAGATAAATTTTCACTATGTAGCCCAGACTTTCCTCGAACTCTCAGCGATCCTCCTGCCTCAGCCTCCTGAGTGCTGCAATTACCAGCATGTGCCACCACGCCAGGCATCAAAAGACCTTTTCTTTGTACCCCAGAAGGCTGAGCGGTTCAGTGGGGTCTCCCTGCTGCACTGTTCCACAGTTGGGACCCTAAGTGGAGCGGCACCCGGGTGTTCCCCATGCCTGGGCGGGAGCGGGCAGAATGGGAGCTCACTGGGACGACTTGGACGGAGCAGCTCGGAAGCGCATCTCCTCTTCGGGAGAGCTGTGAATTAGATCCATTTCTGCACCCTGCTGTTGCGCCAGAGCAGGCTGTGAAAGGGAAGATTCTCAGAGGAGCTGTGTTTTAATGTTGCAATTTGATTCAATTTTCCACTCTATAAAATTACCCATCACCGCTCGTTGCTTTCTAACAGACACCTTCACTCTTAATTTAACAATCCTATCGAATTCTGCCAGGGAAATTGGAAAAATTTATCACCTGTGAAATTTTATTTTCCTTTGGTTGTATCTGTTTTTGTAAAACTTCATTAACGACGATGACTTGCTGAGGAAATTATCATTTTTTTTTTCAACTTCAGACACAAGAAATGGCCCGACTTCCACCAAGATATCATTTGCATAATAAAACAACAAAAAAAGGCTGGGGAAGCGGGGATTGGCAGAGGCTGGTGGGCTGGGAGAAGAAGGCTCTCCTTGGTTGGGATGTGTGCCCATAGTCCTGCTTCTTGTTTCTCTCTTTTCTTTTCTTTTTTGGTTTTTTGAGACAGGGTCTTACTACACAGCCAAGGCTGGCCTTGAACTCTCTGTAATCCTCCTGCCTCAGCCTCCTGAGCGCTAGGATTACAGGTGTGCGCCATCACACCTGGCTTCACAGCCCTGCTCCTTGGTTTGGGTCCCAGTAAAGTGGCTTCACTCCCAGGGGAGATGAATCTAGAATCCAGGCCAGAGGGTCTGATTGCTCTTAGGAGGCCTTGATATCCACGTTCCCTACAGATGATGCCTATGGCAACCAGACTGTCTTCAGGGGCCTGGGTGTTAGATTCACCTTGGTTCCTAGGTTCATCTGGGATGGAGGTTTAAATTGCTATAAATTTAGGCTTAACTTGAATTTCTTAGCAGAGTGCTAACTCCTGGCAAATTTCCACAGCAGCTCTTTAAGGATGGGCTCGAAGATCAGCATCCCTGGGGTCTAAGGACCTCACAATTAAAGGCTCGGTGCAGTTTCCACCCAGCACCACTGTGCTAGAGGATACAGTGATGGCTGTTTTCTGCGACCCTGGTTTAGCCTGCTGTGGGGAGAAGAGCCCCATAGCAGGGACCTGCTTCTTACTGTTTTTTAAATTTTGGAGACAAAGTTCTCCTATTGTAGCTGAGGGTGGCCTTGAACCCATGACCCTCCTGCCTCGGCCTCCTGAGTGCTGGGATCACAGGTGTGTGCCACCATGGCCAGCGCTGACATCCTTCATACTTTTTTTTTTGGTACTGGGGATCGAACTCGGGACCTTGCACTTTCGAGGCAGGCGGCAGAACCACTGAGCTAAATCCCCGGCCCAACACTTTTGAGGCAACTTTCTGTCCTTCTCACTTTTCCGCTGAAAAGAAGTTGCAGCTAGAGTTGGGGTGACTCACTCCCGAACTCAGGAAAAACCATCAAAAGCCAACATGAGTGTCCTGGACCCTCTGACCTTTGGACACATGTCAAAAATCCCTTCAGGTGGCACGGGTTAGATCAAAGTCATCTTGCTCTCAGAACAAGGCAGTCTCTAGTGGGATTATATTTCCCTGTGTTCTCTCCTTCTGAGGGTGACGTTTAGATCCGGCTTCCTTTGCAGTGTTTCAAGTTAGAGTCTTCCACCTGATCCAGAGTTTCTTTTTTGTTTTTTTTTGAGATAGGGTCTTGCTATGTAGCCCAGGCTGACCTCAAACTCACCGTGATCCTCCTGCCTCAGCCTCCTGAGTTCTGGGATGACAGGCCTATGCCACCACACCCAGCTTGGGTCCAGTTTCTGACACTAGGGGGAGATAACGAGGTGAAAGGTCTCACCTGGGAGGACTTCATAGATATCCTCTTCCTTCTCCTCTGCAGATGACTTGGTCCCCATGCTCCCAGGCAAGATAAAGGGTCTGCCCTGGGGACCAGAATTCGGGGACTCAAAACCATCAATGTCATCATACGTCTCTTCCCCCTGCTCCTCCTCCTCCTCTTCCTCCTCTTCCTCCTCCTCCTCCTCCTCTTCGTATGGGATGGTTGAAGAGCTCATATCTGCAAGGGGGAAAGATAAAGGTGAATCAGAATGGGAGGTGGCAGGGAAGGAATCAGGGAGAAGGAGGAGGAGGGAGCAGGCAGAGCCGTGTCAAGAGAAAATGAAACGCCAGGTTAAATGCTGTTATTTCTAACACGGGCCCTGGTGGCAGGAAATCTGCAGGAAAGGCCAGACAAGCGCTGTATCCGCTTTAAACCATCAACATAAATCCTTCCTTGCAATAAAACTTGATCAGGATAGAGCAGCCCTGTGAGTGCGGGTGTGTGAGCCAGGACTTGGTCCAAGGGAAGGGGACAGGCCCGGAGAAGACAGGACCAGAGTCTCGGGGTGCATGGGGCCAGGCTGACCATGGTGGGACGCTTTCTCCTGGAGGACGGCACTATGGAATTTCAGACTGGCTTGTACAGAGACAGAGATGGGCGAAAGCGGGAGAGGAACAGAAATGGGGGGAATAGGAAAAATATATCAGCAAGATGAGTCCAGACCAACGGCTGAAGGGTTGGAGGCCAGCCAGGGAGGGAGACAGGGTTCTGGTCTGATGGGGCCCAGAGAGGCTCAAGCTCTGCCCTGGGGAACACAGGGCTCCCTGAAATGCTGCTTGGAGGCCAGCGTTCCCTGTAATGCCCAACAAAGCTGCTTGACTTGATTAGGCTCTTAATAAAAGATCCTGCAACCATTTTCATCTGAATTCTGGAGCCGCTTCATGGAGGGAGGGACCAAAGACACATTTGCGGCTCCAACCATATGTTATTATTGTGTTTGTTTTCAAAGGAAATAGTATGAATAATTTCTTCAATGTGGGATTCTGGAAGTACCACAGGGTACAGCTCAATAAAGCTGCTTTGAGTTTTATGGAGGTTCACACACTTAGGGGTATATTACACGCATAAATCCAAGCACCTAGACACGTGTGTGCCCTGTCGTCTCGCCGTCAGTGCCCGTGTTTGCCTGGTCCCGCTCTGTCTGCCACACGTGACTCGGGTGGAGGGTGTGATCGTTTGTTTTTGCGACAGCAAGGGCATAACTGGGTAAAACAGGCAGTTCTTGTAATTAAAGCTCGATGTGTCCTCTTCACTCACAATAAAATCTTACAACAGATTAAAGATGAGGGTGAGCAGGCTCGGTGTTTTAGGGTGAGGTGCCAGATGCAAAGTGGCTGGAGGGGTAGGAGGGGTGCCCCGTGCCAAGGGGCGCACTCCAGGTGGCTCAGGATGCCCAGGCTCCCGGGGTCACCGTGACCTCGGTGGCCAGCAGAGGGCACTCTAGGAGCAGGCTTTTAGCAGCTTCCGGCAGGGCCCTTCCAGCCCAAGGCAAGGAGCGTTTTATTGTGGCTTGGGAAACAGCAATTTGTTTTTAATGTCCGATGTCCCTGAAGGCAACCTAGATTCGTTTAGATTTCCACTTCCCACTAAGACTAAAAATAGAAGATTTTGGACCTCAGTTGCAAATGAGTCGGCTTGAAGTTGGGTAGCATGGATTTTCTTTCCAGGATAAAAGACGCGGGGTGGGAGACTGGCACAGGGCGGAGCTGGCTTTGGGGATTCCTTTCTTTAGGTGGGTGGTGTCAGAGGTCACCCCCAGCTGGGTGACGTCTTCACCTTCCGAGGGACGCGTGGAACTATCTGCTGTTAGAACAGAGGGACAGGCTGGGGACAGGAGAGGTGAGAAAGGGCAGGAAAAAAATACCCACGGAAGCCTACTTCCGCAACACAGGGTTATGAATTTCGATGACAGCGACACTTACCCTTTAACAAGAAACTAATTTGATCCACCCAGTCTCTGGCTTCCGCTGGACTAGTGGCTGTAAACTGGAGAAAAATTAGCAAATTAATTTATCGTCTTCACTAAGATTTCCATGAATCCTAGTAGGGACCTTCAAGGGAAGGAATTTGTGACTTTCAGAGTCGAATTTAAAGCTAAGATTCTCTGCCTGGTTAATAATTAAAAAAAAAAAAAAAAAAGGCCAAACAGCTGACTCAAAGTATTTTTTTTTCCTTCAGCAATTTTGCATACCCAGAGATAACAGTTTTGTTTCGTTTTGTTTTTAAGACAGGCTCTTGCTGTGTAGTTCAGGCCAGACTTGAACTCACTATGTAGCCCAGGCTGGCCTCAAACTTGCTGCGATCCTTCTGTCTCAGCTTCCCCAGTGCTGGGATTACAGGCATGTGTCACCATGCCCAGCTGATAACGGTTTTTAAAATCCAGATATTAAAAAAAAAAATCCAGATATTTATGTTCATGTGTGTTCATTTGATTATCCCTTTATCGGGCATTTATTTAAGAAAAGTTTATAGGAAAAAAAAAAAAAGCAAAGCAACTTGTATATGAGGTGGGAGCACTTGTATTGATAATATAAATGCTTTTCTTTCCAGTGGTGGGGATAAAACCCAGGGCCGCATGGGTATCAAACAAGCACTCTACCACTGAGCTGTAACAGCAGCTAAGGTGGGAAAGGCAGGAAACACTTATTATTAGGGCTGAGGCCATCTGGTTTGGGCTGGATTTTTATAAAGAGCTGATGGAAACTGGTGGGGGCCTGGGGCACTTCAGGTAGGGGAACCACATGCTGTGGAGCCTGCCTGGTGCATGGGGAAGGCAGGCCGCAGGGCTCCACTGGAGAATAAACAGCCACAGAGGAAGAGCTGAGTGGCAGAGAGAATAAACAAGCAGGGAAAGACCCAAAGGACACAGTAGGCAAAGAACCCACAGACCGTAACAACGACAGGAATTCGAGGGCCTGAGAAGAGAAGAAAGTAAATAAACTACATTCCAATTCGAAAAGCAGGCTGGGCAGGTATTGAGCCTTTGTAATTTTTTTTTTAACGAGTCAACTTGATGTAAATGCTCCTGAAAACATTTTAATTATCTGGCCATTAGAGTGAGCTCAAGATGCATGTTCTCTAAGAAACCTAGATTTCTGCATAATACTTCTATTAATAGACATTGTCATTCTCAGCTCTTAAAAACACATTTCTACAGCAAATTTCCAGGAATATTGGTGCTGCCACCTGCCTGGCCAACACAAGGTCCTGAGTTTGATCCCCGGTACCAGAAAAAGGAAACATACTCAGCACACATCTGTACTACAAAGGACTCTGTCGAAAAGTTGTCCAAAGTTTAAAAAATTATAGAAATTGTATAATGAATAGGTAGGTCATGTTATCAAAATAAGGATTAAGATACTGTAGAACTATAAAGAGTTGAATGCTGAGAAAAAATTTAAAGAGTGAAAGTTGATTTAATCTTGTTAAGTTGATTTAATCTTAGTGTGTTTTTTCTTTTTTATAAATTAGCAAAAGGTTTGCTACATTGCTTTAATAAAGCTGAGATAAAATAAAAATAATCAGTGAGTAGGAAATAATATATATATATTTTGTGTGCGTGTGTGTGAAAATCATTATTTCCCCATAACCATAATTTTTGATTGTTTTAATTAATTTCATAATGACTTGCAAATGCAGGAGGTAAAGGTTCAAAATACATAAAGATGAACACAGTGAGGAGCCAGTCTTTTTGGGTCCGACAAAATCCTCCAGTCCCTCAGCGCCGCTGTCACCACCGGGAAAAGGCAGCGGGTCCCACTCTAGATGTAGGGTTGAGCTGGCCAGGGTTGGCAGTGGGGAGAGCGGTTGGGACTGGCCCGGCCCTGCGTCCCTTGGTCCTACCTCGTAGCTGCGCCTGTCGCCGCAGGTCAGCTCGAAGCAGCACTGTTTCCTGGAGTCCTTGCGCAGGTAGGGGGCCAGTCGGATGCTGTAGCCCTCCATGACGAAGGTCCCTTTGGGCTGCTTGCCTGGAAGACAGGGAGGCTCCTGTGACCCCAGAGAGATGCCCCAGCCCGGGAAGGTACCTCCCATCCAAGCCCTGGGACAGCTGCGCCGCTGCAAACGGTCAAGGAGGTTACTAGGGAAGCTGAGGGGCCGAGACTGGACAGCTGAGGGGCCGAGACTGGACAGCCAGGGGATCCAGCCTCACAGAGCCAGGGAGACGCACTGGGGAAGGATATTTTACCAGAGGAGCAAAACAGAGAGAGAATGTACTCCAATGGGAAGGGATCGGCGATAAGAAGAGAAGGAATTACTGCAGCAGGGAGTGTGCGCCTGGAACTGGGGGCTCCCATGGCCACCACGGAGCTGGAGCCACAGTCCTGTCACCAGGCCCGGCCCTCGAAGGTCCCCGATGGCCTCCCCTACTCTGGTGGCGTTTGGGCTAACCTGCTCTGCTCTTCATGGTAGTGGGAGAAGAACTGAGACTCAGGATTTCATCCTCCTCCCAAGAGGCAAATCAGGATAAAAGGATAAAAGCTTAGGATTGTGACATAATGAATCACTATGTAGTCCAGGCTGACCTTGAACTCACAGCGATCTTCCTGCCTCAGCCTCCCGAGTGTTGGGGTGACAGGCGTGTACCGCCATGCGTGGCTGATGGATGCTTTTTGCTCATAATGATGGTGAAGAGGATGGCGGTGGGGTGACAAGATTAAAAAAAAAAGAAGAAGCAAAACGCCTCTGTCCTCACCTGGTTGAGCTGAGAGAAATCCACAAATGGTGAACTTCTTAAGGAAATGTCCCGGGTTAATAAGAAGTAGCTGGTGAGCAGGGAGTCACGAAACAGTCAGTGCCTTGTGACACCAGAATCTTTTTTCTTAAAGTATCTGTTCTTGTTCTAACTAGCCACTAAAATGCTTTGTTGTTTCTGTGGTCACCAGATTTTATTTCACCTGGACAGCAAAATGGTCAATAAAAGTCTCCACGCCTCTTGTGCTCTTTCTCCTCCTCCCCTCTCGCTGGGAGTAGAAAGACTGAGTGCACAGCTGTGAAGCTTGGCCTCGTGTCCAGACCCCCGGGCCATTTATTTAAATGCAAAGGACGTTTGACATTTTTTAAAATGGCCCGAAGGTCAAATTCGTTTGAAGAAAATAGTACTCTGTGCCTAGAATTCAGAAGAGAACTTGTGGTTGCTGGATTAAGAGTGGGTTGGAGGTTAGAAGGGCATAGGAGGTGTGTTGTTCAGTTTTCAAAGTATGCTGCTAGCTGGGCGCGGGGGTGTGGGCCTATCATCCCAGCACTCGGGAGGCTGAGGCAGGAGGATCACTGGGAGTTGGAGCCAGCCTGAGCTACATGGTGAGGCCCTGTCTCAAAACAAAGTATTCTGCTTTGTGTTCTAAGTAGGGCTCACACTTCACCCTCAGAAGGGAAGCTCAGAGGGCTCCAAGATGGTGAACAGAAGATGAATTCTGTGACATCCGCGGCAGGCTGAGGCAGAGAGGCGACTGTGGAGAAGCTAGGAGCAAACCAGAAGGGTCTCAGGTCATAGAGCAAAGCTGCAGGTCTCTGCTACCTTGGTACCAAAGGTGCAGGGGATCCCGGTTAACTGCAGACCATGGGCAAGCAGCAGGGCAGGGATGTGCTGGGGGAAGGAGGAAGGGGAGAGGCAGGAGTGGAGTGCCAGGCAGAGGACAGGTCTACTCTGTAGCTTTACCACTGGCCTCTGCTGGAAGGTGAGAGAGCACAGGAAGCTCCTGCAAGAATGGGCAGATTTTGTTTGTTTTGTGAGACAGGGTCTCACTATGTAGTTCAGGCTGGCCTTGAATTCATATGATCCTCCTGCCTCAGCCTCCTGAGTGCTGGGAAAAAGGTGTGTGCTACCACAAAAGCCCTTAAATTTTTCTTGGAATTTTTATTATGACTCTGGGTGCTGTGATTAAATCTGAGGTTTTGGGCTGGGGATTTAGCTTTGTGGCACCACGCCTGCCTTGTAAGCGCAAGGTACTGGAAAAAAAAAGAAAGAAACTTCAGTCCAAGGCTTTGTGCCTACTAGACAAGTGCTCTACCACTCAGCTACCTCTCCAGCCCATTCCCCCCAATACTTTAGCATACTTTAGCAGTCATATTAAGGCCAAAAAGAGTTTAGTTTTTTTTTTTGGGGAACAAGGTCTCACTATGTAGCCCAGGCTGGCCTCGAACTTGGGGGAGATCCTCCTGCCTCAGCCTCTTGAGAGCTGGGATTACAGGTGTGAGCTACCACACCTGGTTTAAGAGTTTGAAATTTTTGGGGCCAGGGATTTAGCTCAGGGGCACTGCAACTGCCTGGCAAGTGCAAGATCCTGAGTTTGGTCCCTGTACCAAAAAAACCCCCAAAAAACCCCCCAAAACTCCAACGTTCCATTTTGATAATGTTGTGTTATTAGTCACAATAAAAGATAACCCTTTGGTATGCAGACCAGGCTACCTTCATGTTTACAAAGCGAACAATCCTAATCTGGCTTTGTGTTCCGGGTGGCGCTGGGCCTTCGTTACCCTGGCTGGTGTTAGTCAAGGGTGCTGGCCAGAGGTGCACATGAGGGGGAAGCTGCAGGGTGCCCCCCAGGAGCGACCCTTCGCCCGGGCACTTACTCTTTTCATTAGCGTAGTAGAAGAACAGGCCCCTGGTGAGCACGCACCAGCGCTTCTGCCACTCCGGCCCGAAGAAGCTGTGGTCTGAGCGGACAGAGCGGGAGACATAAATTCAGGTAACTACCATCCGCGCAGCCGTGAGCCCCCCCCCCCCCCACGGGCCGCGTGTTGTTGTTTTATTTCCCGGGTTAATGGGCTGTGAAACCCTCCCCGTTCCCACAGGTCCCCCGAGTGAGTCGGCTGCAAGGCCAGGTTCTGAGCGGCCGCCCGCCTGCCCACCCTGTGCGCCTCCAAAGCCTTCTTATCCAGCTTCCTGTGTCTCATCCTGCGCTTTCCAAATTCTCTGTGATGTCTTGGGTTTGATTTCTGAGACAGGGTCTCACTATGTAGCCCAGGCTGGCCTCGAACGCCTAGTGACCCTCCCGCCTCAGCCTCCTGGGTGTGCAACACCACGTCTGGTTTAAGCTTTGGTTTCCTAGCAGGTCTTGGACCCTTCAGTGAGCGAGGCAGGACCCAACTGCCGGCCTAGTGCAGTCGGGGCACAGAGCAGCCACTGGGGCGTCGTCCCCGCTCCCCTGGGCCCTGTCCTTCCTGGCCATGAATACCTTTGCTCCTCTTCTCCAGGTAACCCTGCTTGAGGATGCTGTCCAGGTCCTGGGCCGCCCTCAGGACGTCCTCCGTGCCTAGAAGGAGCGACAGTGGGAAGCTTGTGAGGGCCAGGTGAGTCCCCTCCCCCGTCATCCCCACCATTTTCTTTCTTTCTTCTTTCTGATGTCGCATGGTGGATGAAATCCACACTGGTGGGCAGGAGAAAGACTCTGGGGAGTTAAGCATCTGCTGGAGATATGAGCCCCAAACTGGATGATCCACACCAAGGTCATCAAAAGGAGAGGAACAGCCGCCAGCCCACATGGCTTTAATGAGCGACAGACTACTGAGAATGCAGCCCTAGAGGGGACAATAAACACACCTTGAAAAAACTTTTTATTTTATTTTATTTATTTTTTTCTGGTACTGGAGATTGAACTCAGGATCTTAGGCTTTCAAGGCAGGTGTGGTACCCTGAGCTCAATCTCCAGCTTTGTTTTATTTTATTTTTAATTTTATTTATTTATTTTTTTTTTGGTATCGGGGATCGAACTGAAGACCTTGTGCTTGTGAGGCAGATGCAGTGCTGCTGAGCTAAATCCCCAGCCCTTTGTTTTATTTGTTGAGACAGGGTCTCCCTTTGTAGCCCAGGCTGGCCTTGAACTCACAGAGATCAGCCTGCCTGAGCCTCCCCAATGCTGAGATTATAGCATGCACTGCCAAGCCCGGCCACCTTTTTTTTTTAGTATATGTGCTGCCGAAGCAAGCACAAGCTTTTTTTTTTTAAACAGCCAATTTTAAGAACATGAATTTTATTAAGCTCACTATGCAAGGTGAACTTGGCAGTAACCGCCAACTCTGTGCTACTTCAAACTATGGGAGTCATACAATATTAGATGGCTTAGCACAAGACAAGCCCTGTAATCAACTTCAACTTCTAACTGTGCTGCTGACTTTCCTGGGTTTCAATTTTTTTTTTGGTGTCAGGATTCGAACTCAGGACCTTGTGTGTGTGAGGCAGGTGACAGAACCACTGGGCTAAATTCCTGGCCCTTTTTTTCAGTATTTTTAAAAAAAATAAATTTTGTTTTATTTTATCCCATTCCCCTCCTCAAACACCCTCCTCCCCATGTACAAAAGCTCTGTTTCCATTTTCCCTTCTGTTCTCTTTTTCTCTTGTCCCTTCCTTCCTTTCTCCCTCCCTTCCCGTTCCCCTTCCCATTTGAACACTTCCTTCCCATTTCCCAGCATCCATTATACAGCTCAGTCCTCATTTCCACTTTCTGTTTCTCACACCAGACAAACAATGCAATATTTAAACACATGTGTCCAATTTATTTCACTTGAGGGTATAGTAAGACAGTATCTCACTATGTAGCCCAGGCTGGCCTTGAACTTGCGGTGATCCTCCTGCCTCAACCTCCCAAGGTCAGGGATTACAGGTGTGAAGCATCACGTCCAGCCAATCAGGCAATTAGGTTTTTTTTGGTACGGGGATGGAACTCAGGACCTCGGGCTTTCAAGGCAGGCGGCAGAACCACTGAGCTAAATCCCTAGCCCTCTTTTGATTTTTTGAGACAGGGACTCCATATGTAGTCCAGGAGGGCCTTGAGCTCACTATGCAGTCCAGACTGACCTCAAACTCATAGCAATCCTCCTGCCTCAGCCTCCCGAGTGCTGGGACCACAGGTGTGCACCACCATGCCCGGCTCTTCTTTTTAAAACGTCTTGCTCAACTTAGGGACACAGCCTCATGTTAAAGTCACTAAGAGTACGAATCATAAAAGCCACGTTAAATGTTCTATTAGAATTCAAACCTCCTTTTTAATGCAAATCTAAATGCCATTTTATGGAACATCTATGATTATGAAAATGGCCTGACATGGCCCGCGTGCGTGGGGAGAGGCCCCGGGATGGATGTGACATTAGTGCACCCACACCAGCTCACTGATCCTGCTGGCAGGCGCATAACAAATGCTTCAGTGGAGCTCAGCGGTGAAGTGCAGACCTCAGGCCCCAGCGGGGGACAGAGACAGCCCCTGCGCCGGACCAGCCAGTGGAGGCGGCACTCGAATTGAATCACCCAGGGGCAGAAAGGAGCGGGAAGCAGGGCTCTGCATACTTGATTTCTCTTATTTCCAGTACATTATCAGAGTGACCCTCTTCTCCTTCCCCTGCCGAAACACAGCCACCCCCGAGAAAACGAAGGCTGAGCCAAGCCGAGATGTTTCAGCTCCAAGCCCCCGGGGTCCAGGACAGGAGAGACAGTGCCTTTGTATTTATTTATTCAGTTTCAACGGAACTTTTCTTTTTCTTTTGGAGACAGGTTTTCACTGTGCAGCCCAGGCTGGCCTTGAACTCATGGCGACCCTCCTGCTTCAGCCTCCCCAGTGCTGGGATTACAGGCGTGTGCCACCATGTCCTACAGTCCCCTCTTTTGGTGTCACTCAGCCAGTGGCCCTGAGGCTGCCATGCTAGGGGGGAAGAGGCAGGAGGAGTCTTGGATGCCTGAATCCACAGGAACAGATCTACAGAGAGCTATTCGATTCATAAAGAAAGTATGTAAATGAGGCAGGCCTCGCTGCGAATGCCTGTAATCCCAGCACTGGAGAGGCTGAGGCAGGAGGATCTTGAGGCCAAGGCCAGCTGGGGCTACACAGGGTGACACTAAAAATAGGAAGAGAGAGAGGAATTTACCTCAGTGGTTCTGCCGCTTGCCTTGAAAGCACAAGGTCCCAAGTTCGATGCCCGGTACTGCCCCCCTCCCAAATAGGAAGAAGCTGTAAGCAGTTGTGTAATTTACTATTTTAAGGCCACACATTTATATTTATGTATAGAATTAAAATAGAGGTTTTATTACCTGATGAAGATACCAGCACTATAATGAAAACCAAAAATGGTTTTCAATTTATTGGGAATAAATGGCCCTTTTGGATAACCCTAAGGGCTTATCACATCATATCAGCATAAAACAGAATTTCATTAGTGCCATAATCTCTCCTACCCCTGCGCTTAACGAAATCTCCCAGAATAACCCAGATAAAAGAAGTGTTCGTAGCTGAAGGACTTGGGGTCACAGACGAAGAGAAACGTGCATGACTGGAAGCAAGGGCCACCCAGCTCCCAAGTGGGTAACAGTGAGGGTGTCCTGCTCACCTCTGCCCCACCTGCACCCAACCTCTGAAACAGAAAACGACAGGGCAGGGCTCCATCTCCCAGTGACAACGGGACCCTCGCAATGCCACTGATTTGCACGCCACACACAGTCAGTGGACCCGCCGGTCTGTCCATAGCCTCAGCTTTCAGAAAAAACGCTGGGTCACTGTGTGCACTCAACTGAATTGGCGGGGGTGGGGGTGGGGTGCCGAGCAACGAAAACACAGGTACAGTTCAGCCAGGTGACAGGATGTCACAGAATGGTAGAAATGATGCGTCTGTAATTAGCAAACCGACACAGGAGACAACATTCAGGTTTTTTTTTTTTTTGACAAGGTCTTGCTATGTAGCCCAGGCTGGCCTTGAACTTGTGGTGATCCTCCTGCCTCAGCCTCCCGAGTGCTGGGATTACAGGTGTATGGACCTAAGCCTGGCTATTTTTACCTTAATAATTCATCCTTAATATGGAACCATAAATGACCTCAAGTCTTTAGCAGCTAAGCTGCAGTGTCGACCTTGCAAAGTGAGAATTTCGATACAAATCCAGGCAACAATCCTTCAAATGCCCTTGTGATTCTCAAAAGTAGGAGGAAGGGAGAGTTTAAAGATGCCAAACTCTTTGTAAACATTTCAGGATCCCTGTATCCCCCACCCCACAAGTGTGAGGCAGATCACTATTATGCAGGTATTGCTTGAGAGCATATCTTTATTTCTTTCCAGACAGGGTCTCATTGTGTAGCCTAGGCTGGCCTTGGACTTGAGATCCTCCTGCTTCGGCCTTCTGAGTACTAGGATGACAAATATGTGCCAGAGAGCACTTCAGAAATGAGTAAGAGGGCCCAGAGATTTAGCTCAGTGGTTTCACTGCCTGCTGCGAAAGAGCAAGGACCTGAGTTCGATCCCCAGTAACCCCCCAAAAGAAAGAAATGAGTAAGAAAATATCATTTTCTTTTTTTTTGGTACCAGGGATTGAACTCAGGTCCTTGCGCTTGCGCAGCAGGCAGCGAAACCACTGAGCTAAATCCCTGGCTCAAAAATATCATTTTCAATCTGCTAATTTACTACACCACTGGCCCAGGAAGACACGGAGAACAAGGGGCTGTAGCTCTGTAATAGAGCATTGCTCAGCATATGCAATGCCCTGGGCTCAATCCCGGCACTGAAAAGAGAAAAAAATGGAGAGAAAGAAAGAATAAAGTACAAGGCGGGGGAGCTTTGCCATCACCCTTTAAATGGCTCACTTTCTACCTGTCCCCCAGACTGTCCATAGAAGTCATCTAAAACACAGATCTAAGCCGGGTGTGGTGATGCACGCCTGTGATCCCAGCACTCGGGAGGCTGAGGCAGGAGGATCGCCACCAGTTGGAGGCCAGCCTGGGCTACATAGCGAGATTGTCTCAAAAAATCCCCCAACGAAACAAAACAAAAAATAAAACACAGATCTGGCCCTGTCCCATTTGTGCTCAAAGCCTTTCCCGGTTCTCCTTTCCCTACAGCCAGAAACACAAGGCCAAGCATCCTCTGAATGCAACCCTGCTCGCAGGCACTCACTCTGTGCTCCTCCGACCCACTGTCTGGGGCCCGACCCTCCCCTCCCTCTCGGGCACCTGCCTTCCTGCTCCCAGCTCAGCCTCACAGGGGCCGGGGACGCAGGGACGGAGTGGTGAGGAGGCAGAAAGACATCCTGCTTCTGGGAGCAGAGACGCCACGTGGAGGAAGCAGAGGAAATCGTCGCCTCTGTGAGCAAAGGGGACCAAGACAGGCTCAAGCCCGGGGGATGCGCCGTGTGGGTGCCAGTGCAAGAATTGGAGCGGGGAGGAGCTGGGCCCTGCGGGAGCCCAGAGCAGTGCAGGATTGGGCTGGCCTTTAATTAGCATGGGACTGAGATGGGATTAGGAGGGACCCTGCTCTGAGCTCACACAGAAAACTGGAAGCGGTT